CACACACACACACACACACACACACACACACACACACATCTACTTGCTTATCGCACGCACACGATTACACATCGTCACGAAATGAGAATAAAATAATATATACACTGCAATTCACAAAATACATAAATGGATACATAGACAACAAACAAGATTGAATAACAAAACAAAACTAACCCTTTCACTTTTTTCCTTGTTCCAGATCTCCAAAGATATGATGTACTCTGGCAAGATTGCCAAAATGATGGCCCGTTTCCTGCCTTTACCCCAAAACATGGTCGACGCGATGTACACCAAGTTATGTCCCTTCAACACGGGCCCTTTCCACGAGGACACCACGGCCACGGAAATTGTTATAGCTCTCGTCGCTATAGGAATGGTTATACAGGTTGGTTTGTACAAGATTTCCATTCTACTAGCTGGCTCTCTTTCGATGAAAGGAATGATCGGTGCATTAACATCAACTGAAAGTCATTGGCCTACTATATTTACACTCTTCTGGAATGGAGCAATAAATCTTGAGAGAAAAATGGTACACGTGTTTCCAAGTCGCCAAATATAAACAACAAAGGAGTCCAGAAAAAGCGATGATGGGCATCAAACGAAAGGATCACAGTCGAATTTAGCACCAAGTAAAGAAAGAAAACATGAGGCTAGATCTATACGGGTCGCACACTTAAAATGATGCTCAGTATTGCGCGAAAATGCGCGATAGTATCGAACGGAAGTACGACTTGAAATAAACAAACCTGAGGGATTTTCTAAAATTACAGAGACAGAAGCATCGGCCTACAAAAGCGATTGGCAAAATAAAGAAATTTAACTTTTTGCAGCAAAACTGTCTCAAAACTGAAAAAACGAAGGGCGTCATGATCTGGAGAATATTTTAAAGAATCTTTTGGCAAAAACCGCATGTCGATCGATGCAGCCAATAAAAAGCCTTTTGAATAGCAAAATTCGGCCACCACAAATAGATAATAGATTGTGAATCTTTGGTTATAGCTCTCGTTGCAATAGCAATGATAATACAGGTTGGTTTGTGCAAGATTTAGATTATGTTGTGAATCTTTGGTAATAGCTCTGGCACTTAAATGACCAAAATATTTCGATGGTGCCTTAAAACACCTACTCAATCAATCAATCAATGATGGTTATAGCTCTCATCGCTATAGGAATGATTATACAGGTTGGTTTGTACAAGATGTAGATTATATTGTGAATCTTTGGGTTTTTTAAAATAAAAAATGTTCTTTTTGAGAGGGGAATCAAGGTAGAGGCATATACGCACACATGCACGCACTTATGCTCCCATACACACATGCATGCACGCACACACATACACACACACACTCACAAACACACACACATGCACACACACACACACACACACTCACACACACATACGCACATACACACTTACACACACACACACATACACACATGCATACACACACACATACACACATGCATGCACACACACACAC